GGAAGACATACAGGCGTCACAGTAAAAGTTCTTGGGTGTATTTGGGATGATACCTGAGTTCTGTATGAGCTTATCTGTCTTAGACATCGAAGAATTTGCCGAATGACAGAGAGCTTCATGCCAAAATTCAAAGGTTGAACATGCGGTTTCATTGTTTTCGGTCCTTTCCCTGATCACGGGTAACGGACCATGGTAATAAGCTTCCAACCAAGTTTTATTATTTTTACAGATCCTCAAAGTTATATCATTTTCCTGGAGCATATATCCTTTTGATCTGGCTTTCTTCCAAGAAAATTAAGGCAGGCATAACTTGGGCACGTAGAGCACATCATCTATTCTGACAGTAGAAATATTTCCATTTGATAGTATACAATTTAACAGTAGAGTTACTTTCCCCTCGATTGATATCTTTTCATTTGAGCTTGATAATACATAACCAGCGCAGGATGAAAGTTGTTCAAATCTTCCTGGGTAAGGGCACATGTGAGCTGTTGCACAGGTATCAAAGTAGAAGGGATGATGTGTAACTTCTTGAGGTCCATTGACGGCAAAATTTGCTCGTTCATGGATATCGTTAAGTTCTCTGGATATCATGGCTTTCCTTTCGCGGAGTCTGACATAAGAGTTCCATACACAATCTTTGTACTCGAACATATGATGTTTCTTAATGAAGGAACATTCTCTTGGTATAGAGTTTCTATAATGTCTAGATTTGGTAACCTTTGATGGTTTCGCTACTCTTGAGGTGTCATTTATGAGCTTCCTAAACTGCGTAATCAGAGCTGTATGAGGAGAGGATTGCATAGGTAATTCATGGTCAATGTCGAGAAGACGTTGCTTGACTTTAGTATAGGATAGATTATCCTTTTTTACCAAGTTGTGAACAATATTCTTGTGATTTCGACTTAAGAATGCCAGCATCAAGTCTCTCTTTATCTCATCATCATCTAGAAAATCAGCAATCCTTTGACATCTGAGGCTGGAGGATTCACGGGCTGACGAAGTAGTCCGGTTGTATTCATTCTCATACACGTCTAAGAAAGAAGTCATTTTGCCATTGGAATCATGTGTGCTTAAAAGTGAAATCAAGGATCCAAGCTGGTGAACTAATGTGAACTTTTGGTCCGATGGTATTCGGTTGTCAAAAAGATCCACATCTTGTGGGGGTCTTGTAACTTGAGAATTTTTCTCAGTATACTCGGACATAACACTAGAATATATATATTGATAGCAATTGTGAACAATTCGCTAAATGCTTCCTGCTCTTCAAGGCAAGCATCTTCCTTTGGCTTTTTGCCATCAACAACAAGTTCATCGAGCTTTTGGCCTTTCCAGATTGCCTCCATCGTTGTGGCCCATGACTCGTAGGTATTGTTTCCGGTCAGTTGGGTAACATTAGAGAACGAGATGTTTCGCATTGAGCAGTTAAGTCGCTTTGTGAAATATTTATCGTTTTCTTTATAGATGGAGGTTTGGTTTGAAGGTAAATTTGCCATTTCTGTTGAACTATTAGATGATTAATTGGACAATAAGGAAAAGGGAAATTCTAGGATATTAATGCTTTTCTTAGGGCACCGGGCTCATAACCTGTTGGAATGGAAGTTGTGTAGAGAAGCGTAAGCTGTTAGGCTTGTATTTAATATCACCTAGTGGAGCGAGTTGGGAGATTGAAGAGTCTGAAAACTATAGTGGAGAGTTGTTGATTAAACCCACTTAGTATCAGAGCGCTATTTGAACTAATTACTACAGCTAAGCAAAGGACACAATTCACTAGCTTATGCTAGATAATTGGGAGGCTGGTCAATGTATGAGTCGTCATGAATGTGGCTAGTAATAATAGAACCTTATTACGTTCCGTATTAATGCGACTCTTTATTGCCAGGTAGCGCCAATTTCAACAGCTTGGCTCGAGGTATATGAACTGGAGCATTATTAGAGTTCTACGGGGTGTCTGGAATGATAGAAGTGAACGTTGACCGTCAAGTCAATACTGTACGAATCGTAAGATATTGGGGATTTAAGGATCAGAGATAAAAGGTTAGAATCAGTGAGGTTTTGGTTTTACTGAAGTTATATTTCAGAAGTTAAAAGAGTTAGGGTTTAGTCTACATCTAACTGTCTATCTATGTTCTACCTCGCTTAGGTAGAAACATTGTGTTCTGATTACGTGATGGAATAACATTCACACCATCAATAGCTGCAAAGGACAGTTAAACCATTTCCTTATAAAAGGTAATAGAGCTAAAGAGCAAAGATTTATCTTCGAATTACACATAAGACAGGTTGAAGCGAGTAGTAATGAAAATATCATTAGTGATTACTTGACGCCAAATCTATATACCACATCCCTAGTTATTCAACATCGTCTCTATTAGTCCACTTCTCTAGTTTAAAGTCCTATGCGGTATCTATATACAGAACCATGAAGACGGTAAGCCATGTTAAGAAGGGTAAAAGCTTTCAACAAAGCAAACCCCAACAACCTGCCACTCTGAACCGACCCGGCCTAATACTGAGGACGTTCCTTTCAACCATAACTATTGAACGGCACAGATACTTTAAAAATTTTTGAAGTGGATTGAATTGTCTGTCCTCTTCGGATCTCATCTCACTAGCTTATATACATTCAAACCATTTATTATCTATCATATCATTTCTGCTCAGCCTTTCAGTCTTAATTAAGTTGAGCTAATTGAGGAAGAAACAGTTCTGATGTCAATCTCCTGAAAATAACAACCTCAAGAGTCTCTAGCATGAAGCGCGCGTATAAATAAAATGAACGAACATGATTTGGTAAGCCTAATCAAAGCGCGCGCGTAAAGGAAAAGGGAATGACATATGCTGAAAATTTGCAAATTGACTTTCAATCAATACAAGTAAATTTAGTGCGCGCAAAATACTGGTGATTCGACAATAACTTTATAAGCTTTCTCCAAATTTCGTTAATTTACCCTTCGATCAGACTAACACTACGAGAAATTTAATAGAGAATGCACCTCCTCACTCGGCTTTAGTCTTCGGAGTGTTCGGAGTGTCGGCCCCAATGGTGGTCCGACTGTCGCGAGGATGGTTGGTAACGCTAGGGCTTCGACTACCTAACGAGGTCGTCCCGGCCATCTTTTGGGACCTTCAGCCTTCTTACTGGTGACCAAAGTGAATCCCTGATCATCAGTTGTTTTGACTATTTGTAATAGCACCATTGACGGTTTTTCGTTCTATATTTCTGTCGTTCGAGATAAAAGCTCCATCCGAGTTGTCTCTACACTTGCCTTGTAGAGCTGGTGGGTCTGACACGCTGATATCTGCCACGAACGGTATTCCTTACCGCAATTCGCACAAGAAACTATTTTCCTCGGACAATTCCGAGTTTGGTGGGCGCCAGCGCACTCACCGTACCTGGCTGCCATTCCACACGACGCCTGTGTCCCCACTGGCTGCAGTTGAAACACTGCTAAGGCTGAGCCCGTGGTGACCATATTTGCGCGCTGAACAGCATGGCATTAATGACGAGACCATGACGAACTACTTTCGTTTGGAATGCCTCCGACGGGATGTTGACGACGATTGATCGTCAATTGCGACCATTTTTCTTCGACCGCTGATGTTCCCTTCCATCATGTGACCATCTTATTTAATATATCGCGAGGCCCGGAATTGGAGCCATAGTCGCTATCTCAATCCCCCGGGTGATAACGTGATTCTCGGTATCTCTATCTCCTTATATTCGAGTCCGCAAAGGGATAACAGAAACCTCGAGGAGAAAGTCTTGCCATAAATTCACAAATTTTTGAGGTTGTCGCATGTTGAACGCCGCGTCTCTCTGGGACTCCGATGGAACAAATATCTCGGCGTCATTGCTTCGCATATGGCGAATCGCGTACACGCCTTGGATATGGTTTTTGTGCCTTTGAGAGCAGCTCTTGTGGCTGTAAGTTTTGGGTGCCGTCGATTCTCATTCTGACTGCCGTTCTCGCTATTTGCGGAGCTAGGACTGACGCGTAGGTCCTTGGTGGCAGCTTGCCCGACGCCACAACAGAAGCAGCTTATCGTGCGAAGTTCGCGAGGCTCTTCTTGACGACCTCCACTAGCGCTATCATCCCCTCCCCGATTTGAGATGGGATCTGAGACATCATTGTTAAAGTCTTCTTGTGATAATTGAGTGCCTTGACAGATTCATTAATGTCTTCCATTGTTGGTAGGGCCTCCTCATCTATCTCTCCCATTACTATAAGTCTGATATTTTTCAGTAGTTTCCATATTATTTCTAATTTAGGATCATTTGGAGCTATCTGCACTCCACAGCCTTCGGACTTGTTTGCCGTTGTCGCTTTTTGCAGCGCGTCGAAACCACTGAATTTACCTTCACCAGCACCCACACCCGCCAAGTTGTAGCACGGAGAGTGAAAAGATAAATGATATTCACAATGTTAAATTGATGATAAGGGCAGTGTGGAACTCTACTCAGCTTTCTGAGAAAAATGAGGGTTTTCATTGGATCATCTCTATTCATTACTAAGATCCTTCACCAGCGCCCCCTCCCCCGCACTTATGAGCCTTGATCACCTTAATTTAATTCGAGCCTTGGCAAAAATGCCCTCGTGGTGTAACAGAGTTCTCGATAGTTCGGGTTTCCATCGGCGCATCATCAACTCTTTCGATTTGGTAAATGATAGCCTGTTTGGGATTTAGATTTAGGCTTTTGTTTGGAGATTTTACAGAACGTTACTTTTCAGGATAGACCCCAACTTGCACAGTCATCAACTGACGGTATAATTTAGTGCGACGTGCCAAAGAGATTATTAGAGAACCTTGCGTTGGTGGAGATGCTACTTTCCCCTTTGGGCACCTTATGACAAGTCAGGATTAGTAGAAATCCTTTTTGCCTCAGTTTGTAGTGCGGCTGCTATAATTTTTATTTGGAAAGAATTCTGGTAGAGGTTACAGGATCGAGCTGAATAAAAAAATTAATGCTTTTAAGTAACATTCGTACTGTTGTATTACTACTTTGAGACAAGAAAACATGAACGCCAATCAGCCAGGTAACGCCGAAGCCTGAATGTTTGCTCCGTAGACAATACTAGGAATCCCTGACGGCATGTATACAAGATTTGGCCATGTGAAGTGCATTCGCGATCAGATAAACCAACGTACCCAACTGGAATATCTATCTCTTGCTCGGAAAACAAAAATTGTTTCATGAATAAAACCCCCTAATCAGTGTCCTCTGACTTCTTAAAAACTCTGTATTAGTTAGCATTGGTCTACAAGTGATAATAGAGAATCCTTACAGATGATCTTCATAAAATTTTAGCATCTAGGTATAGGTCAGTCTGGGCATTTTTTACATTTAGTATGAAGGATTGGAATGGTTACCTTTTGTGGACATCGTTTATAGATTTGGGCTAGTGGGTGCTGGGACTTGTGTCCACCTTTCCAAGTCAAGTATACAATGACATTACCTTGCGTGCCTTCACAGGCATCGATTGCAATAACTTCTTCTTCCCAACTTCCGGATGGTGGTTCAAATTTGGCAGCAATAGCACTCGCTGGCGGAGAAGTGGACGCAGGGTGTTTGATACTTTTTCTCGTCCGCTTTATGCTGTTGTTTACGCTACTTGGGCTGCTTCTGCCCCTCTTTTTTCCTTTTTTGGACGACTCGGCGAGCGCCTTTTTTTCAGCCCAGTCAGCAAGTATAAGATCTTTTCCGCCAACTGATTTAAGATACTCATTGAGTAATTTAGATGCGGACTCTCTAAGAAGCTGTTAGCTACGAGCGAATAAACTGGTGTGCCTCACAAATTTTCTTCTGGTTCCCATGTTATGTCTGATTTTTTTTCATAACCCTCCCATTTAATCTTATACTGCAATTCCCCTGTCTTTCAAGGCTCAGATTGGATTATTCGATAACATGTCATACATACCGCGTCATCTACAAAGTGATTTAGAATTTTTTCTACGACGAACCTAATTTGCCGAATTAAAATATTTTCTCTCCATGGTATCGGCATGGACGCACTCATTATCAGGTAGTCCATCATCTTCTTCGTCCTCTGAGTCCACCAAGAGAGGTTCTTCAGTTTCCTCAGGTGCAGACTTTTTTGCGCCTCTCTTCCCTCCAGACCGCGATGGGGCTGGTGCTTTATTTGAAATGCTGATTTCAGATTCCGAAGCTGAGTTATCGTCATCACTGATTTCTGTAAGAGATGAGCTAATGCGCGAATGCAAGATGATTCAATTCATCCTGTTGGTTTCACGGATGCCTGATAACATACGACGAAGATCTTTTTAGGGTTCTCGCTCTATGACTTACGCGGACGCATTTTGATTATATCGTTTCGAATGGGCCAACTTCCCGCTGTTCGGAATATCCGACTAATGGCGCGTCAAGGCAAAGCTAATTCTCGGATCCTAGCGGAAAGCAGTTGCGCGCGTTGTGTGTTTGGATGTGTAAGACGAGCAATTGTCCACTAGTCCGTGCACATACTTTGTAACGCTTTGTCACTAGGTCATTACGCGCCATGGAATGGCCCAATTCAAATGTCACGTGACATACAATCGATTTCAAAGCTTGAGCGCCCTAAGCCGGGAAAGTGCTGTGTGGAACCTCAATAATCCTGGAACTTTATCCTCCTTCCATTCTTCTTATCTTTATTTTATTCATTAAATCTGAATGTAGCTTTCTAGCTACGGCACAATATCAGAGGAGTATATAATATATGACTCAATTTAAAAGTAGAGCACTCATGCCTCGGATTTCATTTGCAAGTACCACTGCGAAGTTATGGTGGCTTTTTCTTCACCCCAAGTCAATCCTCATCTGTGAATACCCACTCTCAAGGACGAGGGTTTGACAGTGTTCCACGGGGTGCGTTGTATAGCCTAGTGAAGATCTAGGTGGTGAATGAAGATAATAAATGGGTCAAAGGTATGATGGGTCTTCTCTAGAAAGAGATGAATTGGCAACTAGTTGCAGTAGATGTTACACGTGGGTCTTGCTGATGAAGAACTGGGCAATGGATACATGGCCTTCCCGAAGTAGAGATGGGTAAACAAATGTACTGTAAAGGGTAAGTAAAGAACACGTTGCATGAAGAGTAAATCTCTCTCACGCTGAACTATTATATAAAAGAGTAGAAGCAATTGCCAGCCGGAATTAATCGAAATCAATTCTTGCCAATCTCTTCGGTTTAATGGCTGTGTTTTGTCCTTCTCTTCATGACTCTCTTGTATATCCTTACGTGACTAATTGTATAGGGGAAGCTATCATTAAATTGAGGGTTTTAATTAACTACCCTTCATCTCATGACGAATTAGCCGGCAAAGACGATTTCTTCACCTTCCAGTGGTGCCGGTGTAATGGCTCAGTATGCTCTGCATATCTAGGATAGCCAAGAAGAATCGCATCCAAATCGAAGTCGAAAGCACTCACAAGCACATCTAAAATCGACAACTCATCGTCAATGTCGGACCTATCATTCTCACGCGAGTCCTCCACCTCAATCTTACCACACCACCTCGCCTCAAATACCAATAATGGCGTTACTCCAATTGCAATCGGGTATTTGCCTCAACAAAAACCGGCCATCTCTCACTACACATTTACGATGTTATGTATACCCGCGAGGAGGAATTCAAGTCATAATCTACAAAGCTCGGGTCTTGATCTATGGGGGAGCGTTGCTCTAATGAGGCTTCATATCTTGAGGGAGGACAGGCAGCTGGGATGTGGGACGAACGAGTGAAGAGGTCACAAATTGGTATGCTGGGACGCACATTTTTCGATTTTCTTCGACTTAAGATTGTCTGTGGGCGCGGAAGCAACGATTTCGGATAGTGCAACCGATACTTTAAAAACTGGCAACGATGGAAGGTGTTTTGGTCCGCCTCCTAGTCATCATCTCCCCGAATTAAAGTCTGGGTAGCCTGGACACCTACCCCACTCGAGAAAGAGAGGACTGTGAGGCCATTTCTCATGCGGCGGCTATGTACAAGATGGCAAAGACATGTTAGGGTAGCCAAAGGGTTTTCCTGTTTTCCCTTGGCTGGATATTAACGGTCGAGGGAAGGGTGAAAGTCTCTAGCACCAAGGTCTCGAGTGGTATCAGCGAACGCACCCACTACATGAGTAGTCCAAATGTCAAACAAGGTTACCGTCGAATATAGTCGTTGGAGAAGCTAGTCTTCTCCGTATCATGCTCTTTGAGTGCAGGGCTTGTGCCCGTCACGAATAAATTTTCATTCGTTCACTTATCACGAATTAATATTAGTTTTAAAATTCTAATTACGGATCTGTGAAACCCACGCAGGGAAACGTCTCAAAAACCCTGAGTTATCCAGACATGGCCCCATCATCCATTTACTTTTATCCACGCGAAATTTGATCTGAGATGTCTTCTTCCCAAGTGAAGTAGGTTTCCGGGCTACTCAGACTATACCGGAGAACACTACCAGGAGGCGGACCACGGCGCCTTCCATCGTTTGCTTGTGCTTATGGTGTCAACTCCACTCTAACCGTGATTATTTACTAATGGGAAATTCGAACCCCTTGACTATCCAAGCTTGCCTTTGTAAATTATTTCCATGGGCACCTTAAGATGTATGCATAAGTGCAGCTGGATTCGAGCCAGAGAATTCTACGTATCAAGTGAGTTAGGTGTATTATGATTAGTATATTATTTGGGAACGTACATTTGCGATGTAACAGCTACGATAGTTTGTGGAGGGTTATTTTTATTAGTGTGCAGAAGTGAAGTTACAATGATGATAATTTTATTGCATTTGGGGGAAGCTTGTCCCTTATCCTCCAACTTGTTCACCCGTAGACCGATCACGTTACCAGTTTGCAGCTCACCAAAGTGTACAACCAACTGAGCAGCCATGCCATTTGTCCTATATCAACAACCCATCTCTAATACTACACACAGGACTACATGTAAAGTCGTTACGTAGGGACTGGATCTCCTTGATGCGCCATAATTACACACTGCAGTAATAACTACCATGCACCAGCTACTAGATCTACCATACTACATGGCTGAGCATAACAAGGTAACCAGGCTATGCAGAGTCTATTTGGGAGACTAGCCCAAATGACGTACCACTGCACTATCCAACCAAAGTAGTATTTACGGTAGCAGCTGCTGGCCATCGTTTCGTTGGCTGGAGAGGGGAGATAACGAAGGGCAACGGGCTCCTCTTAGTGTATGATCGAATGAGGACTTGTGAGGGGTGGTACTGTTTGGGGGGAGGTGTATGGCAGGCATAGGAGGGGGTATACTACTGGTATAGGTATCCTTGGCCCATAGGCAGAGGGACCTGCATGTCCTACATAGTCATAGACTCAGACAGGAAAATAAAATGAATTAATAATAAACAGCAGCAGCTGCACTCACCCGCACTCACTTGACCTAATCCGAAAAGCACTAAACACTTTCCAACGTTAACCTCACTTCTACATATCGAGATCTGATTCCTCTCAAGACATCACCCGTCCTTAGCGTCATTCTCTCCCGAATTCCGAAGTTCTAACTTGTGATATTTGAGAACCATGCTTTGTCACCATCTGCAGATATTCATGTTGTCGCGGACAAAATATTAAAGGTCAAGCCGAGCCAGAGACTTGCTTGACAAGGGGTTTGGTAGTTGAGGCCAAGATATACTAGAATGTACATGTTTTCCAACAAGGCTTGGACCCTATTTAAAATTGTTGAGGGCAAATAACTCCTAAAGTAGGGAGCCTTGGGTCTTTGAATGGTGAGCCATCTTTTTCTTTATCGCAAACTTTCATTGAACTCGGTTTGGAGAGATACTTCGCTCGTCATTTCCTACAAAGCGCCACAAGTTGGCATCCAGTCTTCTCCCTACGTTGGTGCCATTCGACTATCTCTTCACCTTCAAATTTACCTTCTCTCCATGCTCAGTTTTCACTAGTTAGCCTAACACCTCGGTCTTTGTTCCCCACCTCTCACGACAACAATGCAGTTTTCAGTGAATGGCATGCCCACGTAATTTATGATACGTTCGGGAAACAATAAGAATGACCAAAATTACTGTTCCTGTAACCCTATGCGATAACCACAAATCATGATGAGGACGGTGTACAGTAGGATGTAGTTAGATTAAGAGCCCCTGACCAGACACAAACCCACAAAAATATACCCGCAAAGTTTATTTAATCCTGTTTATATCTTTTTTTTTTTTTTAAATCATTTAATGTGTATTCAGCTATCTAGCTATGACACATGACCGGCGCTATGTATACATATTGGATGACTCTTTTGGCGTTAGAGACACTCATACTCTGGATTTCATTTGCAAATACCACTATGAGGTATGTTTGCTTACACAAACAGTCGACCCTCCTCCGTTAGTACCCACCAAAGGGAATTTAAAAACCTTTGATTATCCAAGCATGCCTTCGTCATCCATGCATACCAGCGCCGCGAGAAATGTGCTTGTATTTTGCCGGATTCGAACCAGCGATCTAATGTATCAAGTGGGATATGTGTCCAAGCTATCCAGACTCTACTTGGCAGACCGGCCAAGATGATGTACCACCGCACCATCCAACCATGGCAGTTTTCTAGTGTCGCCTGCACTCTCGCAGCCGAAGACTTGGCACGCACAAAGCTCAATTTGTAAAAACTCCTTTCCAAAATTCAAAATTCCACGCCCGTCGAGACTGTATCCAATCCTCTGCATCATCTTATTAATTTGTCCTGATCCCTCTCACATCCATCCCAAGGAATTGTCTTCCAGATTTGTGCGCCACGCTTTGCTTCCTCCGTCGGGTGTAAATATCGGCGTGGGCGTGTATCTGGCGACCAGCTAAGGCCAGAGAAAGTCGACAAGAGGTGTGGTCATTGGGATTAGGATGTACTAGGTCGTACATGTAAACTTGATGAGGTTTAGGTAGGAATCGATTTCGTTGGGAGAGAAAGATTGATATGGTGGAGTATCCTGTTTAGATCGTTTATATATTTATTCCTGAATTTTACCAATCCATCAAAGACGATTTTGAATTCGATTTCATTTAACCCGATTTGGCGCCGTATGGGGCCATGCAGGTGTCTATCATACTTTCTAATTTGCATGAGCGGAAACCTTTTGGTGGAAACCCCCCAAACCATCCTGTTTAATTTCTATGTTTTTTATAATGTATCCTTAGGAAGCGCAGTTACACTATAGTGCCCTCATTATAACCCAATCATATCAGCTTTATCGACATCAAGAAAGGCATGACCTGTTACTTTCCCTTTGCAGCATTTCGACCGCCTTTGTCATCTGGAGTAGATCTATCCAACTATGATTTAGGATCCACTGTGTTATCCGATTGATGTCTCCAGGATTGCTTAGCATAGCTTCGTAGGACTGATCTTTCGCTTGTCTCTAGATCTCTTCTCTTCCATTTGACCATCGAGGGCAGGACATAATCATGTGCTTGGTGTTCTGCGATTGGTAGCTACATGAACAGCTTGGACTGTAGACTCCGGGTACTTTTCTCCTATATAAATACGAGTTGAGCCCCGCGTGCTCACTTCGCATTTGAATCGCTAAACTGCTTTGGGCCCTTGTCAGGTTCGTCAAAGACGATTGCTTCACCCTTCAACGGTGCCAATGCGAATGCTCAGCTCGCTCTGCATATCTGAGATGGCTGGGACTTATTTCATCAGGTATCCCTACTTCGACGAGGATTCCCAACGCTCTCGCGTTTTATCTCGCCTTCGTCCCTCAGCACTACCCCCAAGCACCATTTTCATAAAGCTAACTACGATTAGACCAAATGACTGAGTCCAATTCTTACTTGTTATCCATTCTTCATGGTCATGGAAGAGAAGGCATCTGATGTGAGTTCGGAGCCTACCCAGCAACCGGTACGGCGAAGGTGGATTTTATCAAGTTGGTCTCTTTTGCTACATGCAAGGGATATAGATAGATATACTTACCTCATGCAGCTCTGGTGTCTAGACCTCGCCTGATTCAAGCTGCAGATTTTGTGAATTGCCATATTTTTGGGTGTAGTGTTCAGAATAGAAGATTCAACCTAACCTTCTAATTTTGGGTTTGAAAATCGACTTGAAGCGATGGCTATCTAGCCCACAAGGTTTCCCTCAGATCAAAGCTATAGCTCCCGTAGTGCTCTTAAATCCTATTGAAGCGAAGTGTGATCTTTGATATGATGCTCATCATGGGTGGCCCTGTAGCTCAATGTTTGCACGTATGGCTCAGCTTCCTCGGAGGAAGCCAGAGCTCCTGACTGTGGTGTCCAGTACGAACTTGGGAGTGAAAAATTCTCCCGGAGCCGAGATTCAGTTATGAACAAGGGTGGGATGGATTTTGTATGATGGATTTTCGTCTTGTGAACATTGTACTCAAAATGCTGGTCGAAAAATAAGTCGACAGAGATTTCACAGCCGCAAGGAAGTCGAATGGCAATTTATCACCACCAACACACGATTCACGAATAGACCTAAGTCTGTGTGGGGACCGTATTCAAACAAATAACATCTCTCAAACTCTATATATATTTGCGACGGAGAATTTCTCAGTCGATCCTACACCTGCGACCCACCTCCACACTCATCACATCACCTACCTGCACACACCCTGGTGAGGAAAGTCATGATGGAAACTGGACGTGTTCAAAAGGGGAAAAAAGGAGATATACACCGTGGGTATCATACAGATCCCCAATGAGGACTAAAACACAACGGTACGATATGAAGGTGCTAGGCTATAGAAACAATGAGATCTTGGACGGTATTTGTATTTCGGTATGATTCAACATGTGGGTGGAGTCAGAGGCGGGACAAGGCGTTATTGTACATCACGGTAGTTAACCTGATCTGAAGGGCAAGACTGAACAACTGTCCGCGATACCCTCAACGAACCTGGGAGTGAAAAATTCTCCCAGAACCAAGTTCAGTCAAATTTCGCAATATCGAACAAGTTGGCCCACGAGGCAACAATTAAAATAACTCCACATCAAATTTTCACTCTCAAAGAGTTTGACTCCAACCTAAGCCTCATCAAGTCTACAAGTACGACCAAGCATATCCTCATTCCAATGACTACATCTCTCGTCGACTGTTCTCTGGCCTCAGCTGACCACAAAATACACGCCCACGCCGATATTTATATCCGCAGGAAGAAGCAAAGCGTGGCGCACAAATCTTGGAGACAGTTCTTTGGGATGGACGTGAGAGGGATCAGGACAAGTTTATAAGATGATGCAAAGGATGGATACATTCTCGACGGGCGTGAAATTTTGAAATTTGGCAAGCAGTTTTACGAATTGAGCTTTGTGCGCGCCAAGACTTCGCTTGCGAGAGTGAAGCTGACACTAAACACAAGCCAACGATGGAAGGTGCCGTGGTCCGCCTTCTGGTTATGTTCTCTGGTATGGTTTGAGTAGCCTGGGCACCTACTCCACTTGGGAAGGAGACGCCTCAGATCACATTTCGCGTGGAGAAAAGTAAATGGATGATGGGGGCATGTCTGGATAACTCAGGGTTTTTGAGACGTTCCCCTGAGTGGGTATTCACGGATGAGGGGTGACTTGGGGTAAAGAAAAAGCCAGCATCGTCGTACCGGTTGCTGGGTAAGCTCCGAACTCACATCAGATTCCTTCTCCATGACCAAGAAGAGTAGGTAATGAGTAAGGTTTCGACTCACTCATCGGGTCTAATCATGGTTAGCTTCATGATAATGGTGCTGGGGTGGCACTGCCTATAATACCCTCGTTGAGACAGTTCTGTTCACGTTATCTTTCTTCGTATTACCTTGTCAAGAGACCTACGCAGGGAATGATAATTATTGTTCGAAGTTCAAAAAATTGGGGCTAGCTGTCAGTGCACGTTCTATATACACACTCGGATGGTAATCATATGCTTGATTTCGCTTTAGTAGTTTTTTAATTGTTCTCTATAGCCTCAATAATGAGGGGCCTTTACTTCTGCGAAGACTGCTTTATGTTTATCCAGGTTACCTGACCAAACGATTACTTTCACCAAAATTGGAAAGTACGTATTAAACGTTGATGCTGTACCAAAAAAGCTTCCTCGTGTGCCTAATTCACTTTTATAATAGCCGGGCCAACTAAATCCAAATTTAATGGACTAAAAAGCACATCCAGAAGATCAATAGGAGTATTTACTGATCTTTCAGCCGACGGAACGAGGTCGAATACATTTTGAAGTTTTTCATTATTTGTACTCTTTTACTATTACGACTTCTCAAAGTAGATAGATATCCTGGTGAAAAGTGTATGGTATATTAGAGTTATTAGCCCAAATAACCTAAATTTTCATGAGGCACAGTTAAAAGTTATATCACTTTTAACATCATTGTCCTATGTCCTTAAGATATTATCGAGGACTCACTAAAAGATATAGGCATCAAGAGATGTGTTCCAAGAGCTATTTTGGTGTATTCATAAGCTATCAGTACAAAAGTTGGACTGATGACGCTGCTAATGTGCGTAGGAAGCTAGTTGCTGTTTTGAGCTTGTATTGGACTATTAGTTGGGTTATGATGGCCTCCACTAGTGCTAGGGCACGGACTATTTGCTGAGATGTTTCTGGCAATATTTCCATTTCCATGGTTCAATCGAAATCCTTGATCTCTAACGTGTTGTTGCTGCTGGCGATGTTGTGACGGATGATTTTGAGATTGAAGGTGCAACTGTTGACCACGGAGTTGAGTACGTAAAGTTGGCGGTGCATCAACCATTTCCACAAAGCTACTCCCGTCATCTTCTTCCATATCAGCATCGGCATCAGCGTCGCTACCAACTCCAGCATTTCCAGCACCATTTTTGACTGGTTCATTATGCCTCTCCCATTCGTTGGGAATTGGCATGCCAGATGATTGGAATTTGTCACCGATAACTATACTTTCCCCACTTAAACCCTGGTGCGTGCTCACCCCCCTCTCAATACCAACGTCATTAATTTCGCTACTTTTTTTACGTGTTTCCCGAACGACATTTTTCCAGCGCCCAACTGAACGTTCGATTATTGTATCGATATGGATGCTTTGATCAAATATATTGGGGCCTGGACTTCGTTTTTGGCACGAGTTACCACTAGAAGAATTCTCAGGATCTAACCTGACCTTAACACCCATTCCTAAAATTCGTTCTCCTAAAACATTTATTGTCTCACTTTCAATACGTGTAGTTCGCGGAGGTGCAGTTCTAAATTCTCGTGGCTGTTGCATTCGGTTTATTTCATCTATTTGCTGCCTCAGATGCGACGCGTCTTGTGATATCGCCTCAATTTTTCGTTTCATGCTATCAATTTGATTGCTTTTTAGAGCAATATTACGAGCAAGAGATATATTCCAGATCTCTGCACGATTTGTGCTTGAAAGGGCTTGCCAGGCTCGAAAGATTGCTTGAAGATGTGAATTAACTTTGCCTTCTAGCGAATTCGTCGCAGATTCAATAGAGGCACCAAGAGAGCGAGAATCAGAGTAGATATTAGAGTGAGCTGAGGGGGCGTAGATATTTTCGAGATTTGAAGGAGGGATTGTTACTGAGAGGGATATTCGGTAATTATGAAAGGCTGAAGCGAAATGATTGCGGAGAGCTTGGTATTGTGCTTCTTCTGGAGGTGAGAGTGACCAAGAATTTGGGGAGGGAATGGGAGTATTTGTGTGTAATGTTGGTGGTGGTGGAAGACAATGCAAGCACAGGGCTGGGAAATCCATCGTTAATGGGTCGAAGTCAAATATCGATGAGCCCTGAGTTTGTTGTCTATGGTCATTAGCTTGGCGAATCTAAATTTAAAATGGAATCCTTACTTAGCTGCTCTTAATGAGCCTACTATTTCACGCAAAGCAAGTTCGGCAGCTTTTGCATTATCAAGTGCATCTATCATCCTCTGCTTTTGTTCAATGCCGGTTTTAGCGAGTATCTTCCTGCTAACCGATAGACTTCTGGTGTCTGACTTTCTTATATTGTCTCTATCCTCTTCGTCCCAGCTTCGAGGGTCGCTACTCCAAGGCGTCAAAATGTTGTTAGTCACGCCAGTATTTTCCCAGTTTCCGCGATTGGTAAATGTAGATAACTTGGCTCTACTTCCATGTTGGTCATTCTGTATAGATTCATTTATTCCATTCTCCCTTCGTATACTCGGGCTACGATTATTCTCTCTCTCTCTTTCGCTGCCGGGTCTTGGACTTCTTCGCTCAGCAGTGCCCGGAGTATCCCTAGACATATTACGATAATCTCGTTTGTTCACACTATTCCTTGGCTGTCTTCTTGTGATACCCCCGCGCAGCTTGCGAATCTCATCGATATCATGTATACCGTCCGCAGGTTTGGGGTTCTTCTCTTTGATGTAAAGATCCAAGTGTCGACCTAAAGAAGAGGAGGTGAATTGTTGTTGACAAAATGGACATGCTTTGTCTTTTGTGGAAAGAGATTTGTTGCTACCATTGATGGATGCATCAGCGTTAGAGCCTGGCGTACCTGTGAGGGTTGGAACGGTCATCGCGAGATAAGTCTTAGATCGGACCAAACGAAAACTTTCAATTTCAATTGGGCGCTATTTGATGGAAGTTTTTGGCAAGGATAATGGTATTGGTGTTGAGATTTATGGGTTGAGTCTCAAGCTTGTTCTGAGTATTTAACATGTATATAATACATGAGTGATGCTAGAAGGTAGAGCAACGGCTGGGATGAGGAGAACTTGTAGATAGGTTTGAGTGAGAGGTGGATTTTCCTTGATATTTAGATTTTAATGGAATACTATTAGCAGCCCAGGCAATGAACCTTCTCGTCCTTCCAAAAATTGAGATCCCGGGATTAACTAACTATGCTCGGTAAATAATCTTTTAGCTGATATCCCTGTCCCACTTGGCGAATATCACCCAAAACGTGTTTCCAAAAAGTGTTAGAAACCAAAATCACGTGCTTCTAATTATGTTCATCTACGTCTTAGCTATTTCTTTCCGACAGTAATATGAATTTAGCTAGTCCGAACATTTATCTATGGGCAAATTTATGTATTCAAAACAAATCATCTACGTTTTTTCAAAATCTGAATAGAAAAATTCTGATGGACAATACACTTCACTACACATGAATAAAAATTGATCGGATATAAAATTTATTTGAGTACTCGTGGAGATTTATAATATGCACCCGGGTGACATCCTAGATGCTCGTAGGCAGTAAAATATTATCTTTACCGATTGTTCAGCCATTGCTTAGCAACCCATTTATCTGACTCTTGCAAGCTTGCTTGGAAATGAATGATAATCATTGGAGAAGAGGATCCTAGATACACATGTTAGATATAAATAAATGAATAACTCGCTTGTTTGACTGACCCTAAAATGTTTTTGTGAGTTGTTTTGTTTGTTAACAAGCCACTCATTACGTCTTCTACCCCTCTCTTCTACCTTACGCGAGCGTTTTTCTTGTGCGGTCAATTCTTTTATTTTCTGCGCAGATATACCAGCAATTCCAAGAGCATCGCTATTTCGAATTAAGGGGCCTCTCATTGTTTTTCTCCCTGATCCCTGTGAATTTCTATCATCATTGTCGTCGAAGCCAGATATATTGATAGCCTTAATGGCAAGTTCTTCCTGTTGTTCCATTGGTGATGGATGGTTATGTAAATTCTGCTTGAAATACCTATTTAGAGAACGATGACCGGCGGTCCGGCCAGAAGGAAGATGAAGTTCATAGTCATTGTAGTAAGAAACTGAATTATTGTTCTCATCATTGCACCAAGATTCTAAGCGGGTATCCTTTGCATGCCCCTCAGATTTCTGGTGGTCCTTCTTTGTAAGTTTTGATAAGTTGATGGTTGATCCTGAACAGTCTGTTTCCCAGCCGTCTCGATCATTGTTTTCATCCAGCTCTAAGTCAACATTTTTTTGCCCTAATTTAGAGCCTGCGCTGGAAGTGTTTGACTCTTGTATTCCTTGGTTTTCCTCACTTTCAGACTCACTCTCAGTACCCGAGTAAGTACTAGTGAAATCATAGAACTCTCCTATCTCAAGTTGCTCCTCCTCAGTGAAGAAGGGAATCTTGCAGTGACCTTTATCTCTCATATGTGTCTGAAGACCAAAGAGAGACATCTTCAACTTTTTACAATAGAAACATTCATGGTATTTAAACATTTTCTCGTAAAGAGAGTCAATCAGTCCCTCTAGATCAACTAGAAATGGTCTTTCAGGAATAAACATACCATGTACTTTTTCCATATGTTTAACGTTAAGCTCAAGATTGTCGGACAGAAAGTTGCAAAATAAGCAACGGTTTTGGTTACATTTTTCCTCAAAAATTTTGTTCTTGGCGTGAGTGATAGGATCTTTGTTGAATATCTCGCGTTTTTCCAGCGATATTGTTTGTGGTTCTTTCTCCACTTGTTGAAAGGATATCCGATTTTCCAACTCAATATTGTTTATTGCTTCACCAATTTCCTGCACATTACCACTCACTACTTTCTTATCCCTGGGCTCTGCTACTGATTCACCGAGTGAAAAGGTCGAGCTTATTACTGAGTGGGAATCTTCATTATCATGCTTAGTTGTAGCTAGTTTGGACTTATGTCTCTGGCTTCCAATATGATTTCGATATGCGTTCTCACTGAAGTAAGTCCGGGCACAAACAGAACAAGTATTTTCAAAGGTTTCCTTTTTTAGTGCTGCAGTTGAAACCGCCTGTGCATGAAGAACCTTTTCTGTGAATATTTCGGACGATATTGGGGGAAGAGATGTAATCCGCCGTTTTAGGTTATATCGACTCTTGTTCTCAGTAAAGTAATCGGTGAAATCAACGAATACTCACTGCCAGTCACTGCGCATGTGTCCTCGTTGTAAATCACTATTTCGAAAAGCCACCTGACAAGTATTACAAGTGAATGGATGAGTAGATATATTTTCTGCCTCTTGAGGCTTCCGCTCAGATATGAGATTTGACATTTCTAGCAATGCTAATTCGTGTGCTAGTTTTTAGGGCTTGTGGTGGTTTCTTATATCAAAGCTCCTCACTCAACACGTATTTCGATAACACGATGAGTGGCAGGGAGCCGCTTACACAACTGTGATAATAGAAAGCCGATTTTTGCGTGGATGCTAGTGGATCGGGTAATAGTTTAGCAGACATATTTGTGCCATTCGCTTAAACGAACGGTACATTGCGGCTATAAAGCGGGTAAAATGCACAGGTGTTTGTCTAAGGACAGTGCCAGATCATGTAAGAATAAATCTCCTACCTAGTTAACGTATGGAAAGCAGGGGTCATCTACCTACGGCTTAAGGATACTCACACCTCACCCACAGCTCTTATTCAACGGATCTATTCCTCACAACTCTTAATTCGATCGAACGCTAAGAACAACCTTTTAAACTTCAACATCTCTAACCTTTTAAAGTGTCATGAATACAAATTGCAGGTGTATGGCAGCCGAAAAATTCGGTCTGGAGCGCACAGACTGAACACCTGTCCGCGATACCCTCAACGAACCTGGGAGTGAAAAATTCTCCCAGAACCAAGTTCAGTCAAATTTCGCAATATCGAACAAGTTGGCCCACGAGGCAACAATTAAAATAACTCCACATCAAATTTTCACTCTCAAAGAGTTTGACTCCAACCTAAGCCTCATCAAGTCTACAAGTACGACCAAGCATATCCTCATTCCAATGACTACATCTCTCGTCGACTGTTCTCTGGCCTCAGCTGACCACAAAATACACGCCCACGCCGATATTTATATCCGCAGGAAGAAGCAAAGCGTGGCGCACAAATCTTGGAGACAGTTCTTTGGGATGGACGTGAGAGGGATCAGGACAAGTTTATAAGATGATGCAAAGGATGTATACATTCTCGACGGGCGTGGAATTTTGAATTTTTAGCAAGGAGTTTTACAAGTTGAGCTGTGTGCGTGCCAAGTCTTCGGTTGCGAGAGTGCGGGCAACACTACAAAAACTGCCATGGTTGGATGGTGCGGTGGTACATCGTCTTGACCGGTCTGCCAATTAGAGTCTGGATAGCTTGGACAATAATCCCGCTTGAGACAGTAGATCGCTGGTTCAAATCCGGCAAAACAAAATCACATTTCTCGCGGCGCTGGTATACATGGATGACGAAAGCATGCTTGGATAATCAAAGATATTGAAACGTCCCTTTGGTGGGTACTTACGGAGCAGGGTTGACTGTTTGTGTAAGCAAGCATACCTCATAGTGGTATTTGCGAATGATATCCAGAGTATAAGTGTCTCTAACGCCAAAAGAGACATCCCACATGTATACATAGCATTGGTCATGTGTCATAGCTAGAAAGCTGAATGCAAATGAAATGATTTAAAAAAAATGTACAATGGTCCTCATTAAAATTTAAAAATTAAGAAAATCAATTGATATCTACAAATACACATCTATTTCGAAGATAATTGCTCTGTATTACAAAAGTATACATCGAAGCCCTCAGTATGGTTCGCAACTTAAAGGAAAATGGAGGGTTCACAAAGTATTGGTATGGAGCAGAATTATACAAAACATGAAGTACGCTCTCATTTATCACCGCTATACATCTTTCGTGCATGTTAACCACACTTAACGGAAGCTTATTACGAGCAATGCATCTGCTATAACATTTTATTGAGGGCATTAGAAATTAAACCTTCACTGCATCCCCAGAGGCTAAAAGGTCCCATTGCTAGTTCCAAATAGCACATCTGTCGATTTTCAGGAGATTCCCGGACGAAAGCCTCAAGCTCATCAACTTGTTCCGCGCTTAATTTTGGTAAGGGTCCCTTGCGAGACATAGGATTCTCGGTCTCTCGAGCACACGCAACTCGCACTTGCCTTATTGTGAAGCCAAGTTCGTCGGATATATGTTGTAATGTCAAGCCAAGTCTTCTTGATGCTCGTATTTCAATACATTGATCGCGGGTTAGATGCTTGCGAACTTTAGTTTCTGAAGCAGACTTTTCGAGAGACATCGTTTGCTAGAATAGAGGATGAATTGATAGTGGTGTTAAGATTTATGGACTGTGTAAGTTAGGCGGCAAAAAATGTCGTTGAAAATGTGTTTCTCTAAGCGATTGTTAGAAGAAGACGATTGGACCATACTTCATGGCGAGCGGGGTATGGAGGAGAGACATACTAACCTATTACGAGCTAGCCCAACTGCGCCTATAGGGCTAATCCCTTAAACATCCCAGTTTCGAGGTTAAAATTTTGGAACCTAGAGGCACTGTAGAAAGCTCCCAATAACCCCCTTGTGCCCAGGCAACCGAGTCATGACGTGCATACAATAGCATAATTTAGGAATTGTAATGGTTACAGTGTTGTGACAGCAACAGTTTCCATTCGGGATACTAGTTAGTTGCTGTGCTGTGCTATGGCTGTGGACTACTACACCCTTGGTTATAGTATTGATGCTCGTGTACTTTAGGAAGCTCTAGGACAAAATTTATAATGTAGTCGTTTGTCTTGTAAGTTACTCATACTTTGGAATCTCATTATTTATTTGAATATCTCGTCTTCATTATCAACATCTGTCTTCGTCCTAGTCTCCGTCCTTGTCCGTGACATCATCGAAGTGATGACTTTATCCTAATCTCGGCTCTGTAGACTCTACAGTGAGAGCTGAAGGCTTGTAGGGGACACCACTGACAGATGTTGAGAATAGTCCCCCTTGGCGGTCGACGGAAATCGGCCGTGAAAGAAGATCAATTGTGGTCGGCTTCCCAGGGTAGGCAATTTGAACGCATGTGGTCAAACATAGAAATGATATCGATTCCATACTATTAACTGCGCAGGAAAAGTCATAATGGGCCCAGAAAAGGCAGTGCTTCAACTTTATCCACTAGGCATACATGCAAGCGTCGTATGGAAAGACAGCCCAGTGTAGTGATTACGCCAGAGCCCACCAGACTTTGTAATTTACTGGAAAAAGAATTCCTTGAGATAATTGCAGAAATTAGTCTACCAGGCCTGTCAGGTCTTCAATGAGAGCGTTGTGAAGGCTCGGCAGAAGCTTCAACCGTGAACGGCAGAAATATGGAGTGAAAATCCAGCCATGGCAGCAAAACGAATAGTTGGGACCACCAATGATCAGAAATTCACTCCGGTCAGCAGTAAGAAAGCGGAAGGGCCAAAAAAGGAGTCAGGACTGCCCGAAAAGGGGGATATAATCACAGTGGCATCAACAACCGCATCAATAAAGGCGAGCACAACGAGACCAACTCTCCGAACATTATTACGATTTTATCTAGATGAGAAGGCACTTTCTCCCTTCAAAATTTCCTTACTCTCGTCTAATCTAAGGTAGAGTAAACGATGTCTATGGAAAGTTTCCAAAGTAATGGTTCAAAGAAGCGTCTGTGGCAGGACATCGGGTTCCGGTTGAGAATATTTTCCCTAACCAAAGCGGCCCACCATCTTTATGGTTCAATAAATTTAATACTGTATAGGAGGTCTACAAGAAAAAATCGAGCTTAATTCAAGGGATTAAAAACTGGCTTGTAAATAGCTCGTGCAAAAGATATGCTAGTCCCTGCAGATATCGTAAATATTTGCGAAAAGTCCCAAGGAGCTTTTTTTTAACTCATAAATTGTATGCAGCCTAAATAGCTATGACACTACCCCAAGGAGCTTACTACTAACGTTTTGTAGGGCACGGATGGATATTGAGTATGATTAGAGGACAGCGCTAAAGTGGTGTTCTGTAAGGAAGAGAAATGTTAAGTGGTACAATATATGTACAAAATGTAAGAAGAAATTGCGTGAAGAGAGAACTCTATCACGCCTGCCAGACTATATACGGGACAGTACCACTAGCGCTTTTAGCACGGGAGGCGATGTGATCACTACTTGTTTACTTCTAGACCACCTTTAGCTTTCTAGACCCTTGCATCCACATTCACTGTCTTGCTGACCAACATCAAGCACTACCCTAATAGCCTATTGTCACATAGACTGCGTCGAAAATAAAACAAATCAATTATCCCCTACTACTTATCCATGAAAATAAGTCACTTAAATTTACACTGACATGATTAACTTGGTAGCCAGTCAAAGCGGCAGGTATGATTATTTCTACCAAAAACGAGAAAAATAATTGAATTCTACGTCTACAGACCATATGTAAATTTATTATGAGATTAAAATACGTAGCATTTTTATTTGATAAATTAGATCATACCGCCCTCTAGTGTTTTTGCCACGCCTTGAGCTTCTTTTTGGTACCACTGGTTCATAATACCGCTAATACCACTACGCTGACCTCCTTGGGTGCCGTTTTTATTTCGCCCTGCAGTCCACGTTGCAGCGCTTTGGTTGAGGTTGGAGTTATTTAGTGGTATGCGTGCGCCAATCCAGCCGTGGCTAGCGCTACGAAAACGACGCTTAGCTTGTGTAAACCGGATGCCTTTGGTGTCATCACTTTGAATGCTACAAGGATTATGGCTGGGAGATTTTTCTGAAGCGGAAGCTCTATCGATCGGGTTATCGCTTGTAGACGTTGAAATGCCTTCATCATCCATTATTATTTCAATGATACCGGATCCAGATGAGATGTTTGGTGAGCTTGAGTCAGAATTAATTCCCATAGAATGGTAGGGAGGGGGCGGCGGCGGCGGAGGTATTGCAAGATGTTGAAGTTCTTTAAGAATCGGAGGTATAGGAGACGGTGGAGACGAATCGCTTTGATGTGTTTCGTGATGGGTTTTCGTACAAGTTCCATCCTTCCCATAATTAATACTCCCTTGACCATGTGCCTGATTTGCTGTGTTTCGTGTCGTATTACTATGATAGCTAGTTTGTAATTCTCCAGAATTTATCTTTCTCATTGGTAGCAGCCCATCAAAACTTTTTGATTCTGACCCACGTCGTACAGTACTAGGTGGAAGAGAAGATTGAAATGCTGGGTGGGTGGGGAGGTCTAATGGAAGAGCATGCGGAAAGGATGGCTCCTCAAGTATAGGAGCAGATGCTGAACGGGGGGGTATCCGGCGAGTTGCCTTGTAAGTTGTCATAGGTAGAGGCGGCAGGGTCTCGAATTCATCTTTAATATGTGTAACATTGGATTTCCCACACGAATATGACTCTAAAGTATTCCCAGTTTCATTATTACCGGGTGGTGAAAATAATTTCGATCCCACAGCATCATGTTGAAGATACTTCAATGCTCTTGGATTTGCTGGAAGGCCGATTTGATTTGCCCATCCCTTCCTGGTCCTACTTTTTTTATCTTCATCTCTTTCGTCAAAAACCACTTGATGTACTCGAGTGCTTTCAGGTGGAGTAGTTTTACTTCGTGAAGGCTGAGTATGGATTTTTTTTGATTCAGGCTCGATAAAAACACGTGTTTTATCAATCAGTGAGTGAGAGTGAGCTAGGGTTAGTCTATCAAGCTGCTCTGGATAAATTATGGGAGGTGCAGATGGTCTTTTTGCTAGTGATTTTCTTCTTGCCTTAAGTTCGCGCGCAGCTTGCTCTTTTCTTAATATTTTTTTTTCTGCGATAGCTTTAAGGTCTAAGACTCTCGCATCTGATGCTGAGCGGCTATGTAGATGAATATTCTGCTTGTATTGATGTGCAGGCTCATTTCGGATCTTTTTCCTTTCTCCTGCATCTCATGGTCGGTTAGCCGAGTCTCAGTCGTACAAGTACCAGGAAAGTGTAAGAACTTTATTTACCTCCTAGTCCACGACTGCGTAATAAATTTCTGCTATTGCCCGGAAACTCTATGTAATTTCGCTCATCGCTATGCATTGAACCATTATCGCTACAATCATATTTTTCATTACTATCGCTGTCATTGTCACAAGGTCGCACTGATTTCATAAGTGAAGATGGCATTGCACAATAATTACCTTTACCTTTTTCATCCTCGCCTATTTTATCAGTATCTGGGGATAACCGAATTTCATCATTACTAGTCGCATTAATTTCTGGCTTTATCCATGATGAGTCATTCAGTAACGACGGCGAACTATCTTGACTAAAAGATGATTTTAATGCTGGTCGTCTCTTACTTATTACTTGATTTCTAGTGTTAAGATGAGCTTTATTGTTACTTTGGCTACTCGAGCTGAAGTCAGGTAGGTCGCCAGCAGTAGCTTTTGAAAAAAATAGCGAGGACTCCAAGTTTTTTTTGGACTGGGTGACTGGAAACTCTATATCATCTGTAAAGCCGTCAAACTTAGACTTTCCAATAGAGTTTTCAAAACATTCCGAAGGTCTGCTCTTTTTAAGCTTTAAAGCTCGACTCTCTCCATTTTTTAACTGATACTGTGCAGACTCAAGTATATCAATATAATAATCAATAATTTGGCTAGTTGGCGCCAAATTGTCTGTCTGAACTAAATCAGAATGACTTTCTTCTCTTTCGGTTCTGGGTGTAATTATTTCAGAAGTTTTAGAAGCGATTTTGACAAAAGAATTGATACTATTTCGTTTTTCATTCCTACATCTCGAAGACGCAATAGAGGAGCCAGGTGAAGTCATATAATCTCCTGTTATAATGTCCTCCATAGGTGGCCATGAGATTTCTGGCTTATCATTCTTTGGATCTTCGGAGCTTTTGCTTGTATTATGGACTAGTTGAGACATGAGAGAGGGTTCTAATGATGCGGAAAGCGAAAGAGGAGCTATCAAAAAATTTCGCGATGTTTGAATCATCGGAATTTTTGCGTTGAAATTCTTAGGTTTCGAGCCTGGTTTTTCAATATTGACAGTTTCATGTAAATTTTGCACCTGATTTACAAGTGTCTCAGTGTTGCTTTCAGTAAATTTAGTATCAGTCGAATTATCCGCTTTAACAAGAGGGAAATTGTCTGAATGCATCTCTCCAATGGAAGGAAGTCGTCGTCGCTGAAAGCCGCCAGGCGTAGCTGTGCGTTCAGATGCAGGTGTGTTATAGGCGCTTTGGGATTCAGATCGAAGAGAAGCGACGTGAGAAAACTCGCTCTGTAATAATGAGGATACTGTATCATTCAAGTTTCTTTCGGATTCATTTATTCTTGAGCATGAAATTTTCCCTGAAGTCTCCTCAAAAGATGTTATTAGTTTCAGTGCGGAAGTCTTCGTATTAGAAGTCTGAGCTTCATCAGCTGATGAGGGGGACTCAGGTGGACTTTGCATGCATATTTCTGTCTGTTGTGTTGAAAATCTATTTCCATGATAGCCAGGAGAATACCATGGCTGTGTAGATTCAGATACGGTACATGAAAAGCATCTGATCGCTAGATTATGCTGACTATGTTGAACAGCCCATTCGCCCCATTTCCTGATTAATTGAGCTTGTCTTTGCCAGTCAGCTGGAAAAACATAGCAAGTCAAGATTAGAGCTTCCATATATCTCTTGTGGGATACGTAGATTTCGATTGCATCATTTTTATCCCCCATACTAATCATGAATGTTGCAGCCGTATGAATGTCACCCTCTCTCAGCAGGCGCTGAACGTAAGCTCTAGCAATTTTGTTCTGTGTTTCATGTCTACTAGCTCCATTGATTCCACATAAAGCGAGAAGCATCCAATCAGAGTAAGTCATAGATTCTGTCTTGGGGGACATGATATTAATATCAATATCGCCAAGCCATTTAGCCAAAAGAAAGCGTGTTACTGATCCGAATGGTTGCCTACTGATTTCATCCTCAATCAATCCTTCGGCTTCTCCATCCCAGCCGAATATTATACGGAACATTTGTCTTCGGCAATCATGGTTTGTTAGCTTTGAGGTATCTAGGGCTTCTGGTTGTCGGTCTACTACATCAAATAGCCTATAATTTGTATATTTGAATAGATCCGAAGGCTGAATATAGTTTTGTCGAGCTTTATGATGCGAGTAAGGATGTTTAAACGGAGAGTTAAGTGAATTGTTAGATCTAGAGCTTGAAGAACTAGGTGATATACTACCGCGACTTGAGTCAAATGAATATCCTTGCGATGAATGTAATGATGACCCTGTGGAAATACTTGTCTCATCACCTGTATCACGTGACGTATTGGAAATATCCTGTAATACACCGGAAGATCTCGAAGTTTTCGATACGTGACTCCTGACTGAAATTGGACTCAAAATTTCTGAATATGATGTCGTATAATTTTCTGAGTCCTCTAATCTGTAGTTTTCTCTCGAACTACTCGTTGAAGCTGTGATGATTTCATTTCGATCGCCTCCTAAGTTATCAGCGCCAGTTTGCATTTTAGTAGTACCTCTATCATCTGAAAATTTAAGGACATCTTGCCTCTTTTCTTTTTCTTCAGGTACATGTATTGATGATGGTATTCTGTTCGTGGAATGCTGAACGTTGGCCACTATTTGCGGCGGTGATTTTAGGTTAAATTGGTGTACAGAATTATTCTGACTTAATGTAAACAAGATTGCTCCAGGGCCATAGATAGCTAGGCCTTTTATAATTTCCGGTGTTGGTACAGCCTCATATGTGACGTATTTTGTTCGCACGTCCCATGACCAAGTTTCCCTATTACATGGGTAAGTTTTGTTAGTCATGTTTCGAAGCCACTTCGTACTATTCTTTAACCATAATATGATAACAGTCAACTTACCTTTCACAGAACTGAATTATCCGTCCATTTTTTGACCAGGCAGACCAATGGGGTCCATTCTGAACTTTATCTGTGCGCTGTAAAATTCGCATTACTTTCGCTGTCTCAGTGCAGATATGGTATTTCGGAATGCTCCAGATACGGAGGTTACCGTCGCAGTACTGGGTTGCCAGGAGAACTGATTTTTGACGTGGTGACGAGGCATGCCATGCTAGTGTGGTAATAGATGTTGTAATTTTAGGTCTAGTTAAGTCGTGAAGTACCGTAAAGCAGGGTTGCATGGTCGCTATGTAGAGTGATCCATTTGAAAAACTGCAAGATGTGAGTTATAATTAGTAAAATGTGGCGTTTATTAAATACCCAATAGCAAAAGTTCTACAGTCCACTGCAGGTGCCAAAGCTGTGATCGAAACTTGATCGATGGTCTTGACGTTTAAATTCTCAGAGGTACTCAGCTCAAATAAGATCACATTTCCCAGCTCATCTCCTGGGACGACATTAGCACATTACTTTATGCAATTAACCCTAATCCCATGTTTTACACGCACCAAACACAATATTTCCATTTCGCATCCAGGCAGCTACAGTTAGATTTTCTTGCGAATAAAATCGAGCCTTTTCATCTCCTGTGGTGCAATCCCACACGATAGCCGTTTTTCCTGAATCATAGCTAACAATAAGCTTTCCATCTCCCCTTCCACTGATAGTATCTGCTTCTAACAAACGAACTTCTTCGGTATGTTGAAGAAATCGCTGTTCCACGATTAAAGTGTCACGTTGTGCGCATATGATCATATTTCCTTGTGAATATACAAACATTGATGCCGTTGCAGTACATGGGCTGAGCTCATGCTCTATATGAAATGCTTGTTTAGTGTCATGAACTCTTTTTCCTAGACAAGCTGGCGTATGAATTGAACTTGCTTTTATAGAACGCTTCCTGATTATTTTCTCGGCGGACATGATTGAAATATTGACACAATTTTCCTAATTTTATCGCAGGATCCAATAACTTATTTCAATGGTAAACACTTATACAATCTCATAAGTCGCCAAAAGACCGAAGATTTTGATATGCTTGATTTTAAAGACGGTTGAAGATATCTCTACATTTGAGGTAGGCTATCAGCTCCCTTCATTGATTCTAATGATGCACTGTAAATCTGATCTCTTTCCTTATCTGCGCTTTTCATTCCTGAGGTTTGTTGAACGATGGCTTGAACTTCACTGGGAAGGATAACAAGCGGGATCTATTGCATATTTGTGTTCATTTTTATCTGATGATACATACATGGCAGAAAAAAGCGTAGCTAATCCAAAGAGGCGAGAAACAGCTGCCTAGAGCAAGGAATCCGGCAGAGCCAACATACAACAAGGTACAAATTGCCAGTTAAAGGATACTCCAGCAATGAGAGACATCTGAACAGCTTCTGCACACATAGCTTGATATTGACAGTAAATACCTTTTAGCCCTACTAGGTATCGCTAAGCGCTTACAGTGACCAGGCGAAATTGTTAGTGGATAAAGTGGTAATACAGAAATAGACACAGGCGTGCGATGCCACACACGAGATGCATAGATAAGCCAATGAGGTTGAAATCTTGGAATTTTCCATGTAGAAAGATGGGAATGTACCTTACTAGTCACGTAGTCGATCTAAAGTTTCCCTGGACCTCATAGCAGTGTAGCATTTCAACATCTCATGCTGTGGTAGAGAGATGCATCGTGGTGAGACTCCGTGTGGCCGATTGTGTTAGCCGTTTGCTGATTAGCGCCTTTACTCGGCGCTAGGCGAATTCCTTTCGCAATTTATTAACAACCTTGTGCAATTGGTGTTGATGATATTATAAGCATGTATCTAGGGCTTTAATTCTTTCAATACAATTCTTAGTATGCATCTTGCTATCTAGAATTATAGTATCGACGTCAAAAAATTTTGGTTTTATTCCACGAGAAACACTATCCTCACCGAGGCCTGTGGAAGTTCGAATTTATTCTGAATCAGACTCATTCAGTATAGCCAAATTGCCATCGCGGCTGGAGAAAGGGAAGCTGCATATATTATACCAGCAAAAGATCTACATGCGATAATGACATAGCCTGTCACTCTGAAGATATACCCGAATTATGCATATCGTTTAAAGAATCGGTCTTCAAATGATATATTACGCAATTGCTTGGCCCTCTATACTATCAAGCGCGGTTAAGGTTATTTTTCACAAGATTATAAGGATCTATCAAAAAGACAGGATATGGTCTATTGATCCCTGGCACCTGTCGCAGTTCTTGATTCTAAATTCGGTTCATCCCCGAAAATATCTCCATTGAAATACCTTCAAAAAATGAAAATTAAAAGGAAGATGGAAAGATAGAAAGTCAGGCATGTTATTCTCGGCACATATTGTCTGCAGAGAGATTTGAGACTAGTGTCTTTGAAAGTGAGGAAAAGTTTCCATTTATACACCCATAATATATAATACATGGGTAAGAAATCATATGATAGATTAATGCAATTAATAAAAATAACTCCTTGAAATGAGTTTTTTTCAGTCTATCTCTGTCATATTCGGAAAAGATTTATAGCTCGAATAGCTATATATCTAGGAAAAATGGGATTCCTCTCGAATACCTAGTATCTCAACGTATAAATATCTACAACGGTTTGTTATTATTAGCCAGACTAGCGGAATTTTTTCCAACTTCTGGTAGAAGATTGTAAAGATCTGTTGTCTACATATTAATTTTTCCATCGAGAAGCTTGCATAGAGGTGTATTGAAAGATTACTTAACCATTTTTAGTTGAGGTTTTGCAGTTATAGATCGGTACATGTAAAAACTTGCGGCTACTACACTTAAGATGTTAAGATTCAGTGTTCTGAACAATAATAGCGTCTGTAGAACCTCTTAAAAAGGTGTGGCCGGAAGACATAAAGAGGTTACAAGCGTCCAGTGTGACAAGCGCACCGCCTCAGCGAGTAGCCTTTCTACAGACGTAAGAATCCGTTCAATATTCCTTGCCCTTGTTCAAAAAATAGAATCACGTCCACATCTCTAAGTATTGTGTACGTTGTGACATGGCCACGAGACCGCTACCCAGTCAGAACCGGGGGGTGGGGGGATATCGTGTGGAAATGCTGATTAAATCGCTAGAATAATTGAATTTAACTCGTATCAGATAAACAAAAAAAATATTATCATTTACGGGAATAAATTTGATGGTCAAGAGATTTAAGTCGGCATGTGTGGGAGTGTGTGTTTAATGTACTACTTGAGTCTATCACTATCTAGCACATTTTTTTTAATCCATTTTATTGTCCTGTCTGGGTCTATGACTATGTAGGACATGCAGGTCCTCTCTGCCTACAGGCCAAGGATACCTATACCAGTAGTATATCCCCTCCTATGCCTCCCATAGAGCTCCCCTCAAACAATACCAATCCTCACAAGCCCTCATTCAATCATACACTTAGAGGAGCCCTTTGCTCTTTATTATCAGAACAACGAAACGATGGCAATTTGCGGGTGTATGGTAGCCGGGAAAAGTGGTACAAACGACTGGGTGCGGGGCTCTTCTAATACCGACATTAGGACTAGATCCGAAGACATAGTGATCCTTCTGAAGCGTTCGAAGAGGCCGGCCAGCTGGGTGCTGCAGATTTGTGGATACCCCGAAGAATTCACCGTTTGCCTTTCTAGCCTCCTTCCAACTCCTACCCGAAGGTCGTGCTGAAATAACAGAAAAGTCTTGACAGAGCGTGATTGCTGTGTGGTAGCTTAGCCTAGCTTCTTTTGTGCCGTCTAGGGCGCTTGAAGTGCCGTTGACTCATCGACAGAAGAAGCCCCCCTGGCTAATTATTCGAAATCACAGACTTGGCGCCCACAAAAAATCCAAGGTTGAAAACTCCTCGAAAATGTCAGTCCCAGCATAGTCTTCAGAGAGATGTTCCCCCCCTCGTTCCATATCTCAGCCGCCTGTCTCTCCTCAAGATGTATAAACCCATTAGAGCTTCAGTCCCCCATAAACCAAGACCCCAACTTTGTTTATTATGACTTAATTTCCTCCTTGCGAGTATACGTAGCGTCATAAATTTGTAGTGAGTGATGATCGGTAATCAAGGAGGCAAGCTCCTGTTTGCAATTGGGGTGACGCCTTTATCGGTCGTCGAGGCGAGACAATATGTGGTTAGAAAGAGGTGGAGGACTTAGAAGATAATAGTGGGTGCTGCATGATTGAGAAGTTGTCAAATGGAGATATAGGTGTGTTTGCTTTCGACCTCGATTCGGATGCGATTCTTTTTGGCCATCCCAAATATGCGGAGCATACTGAGCGATTAGGGGGTCTATTCTCAACACCTGTCAGCGGTGCCCCCTGCGAACCTCCAGCTCACACTGTGGAGTCTGCAAAGCCGAGATTGAGTAACAAAGTCCTCACTTCGATGAGGATTCCCAATCGCTTTCGCCGTCTGTATCGTCTCCATCTCTCAACACATTCCCATATCACCATTATTATGAAGCTAACCACGATCAGATCAGATGGTAGGGTCGGAGCCCTACTCGTCACCAACCCTTGATCATGAAGGAGAAGCCATCCGTTGAGTTTCCGGAGTGTACCCAGCACCCGATACGGAGATGGTGGATTGGATCAAGTCGACCTCGACTGTTACAAAGAAGGGAGATATAGATGAATATGCGCACCATCTGAGGCATGAATGTTCTTCCTTTACGTTGAATCATCCATTCTGTACTTTTCTTTGATATTGTGTCATAGCTAGATAGCTGCATACGCAATTAAAATCCGATTCAAAAAAAAAGAATATGCATACCTCATGTGGTCCCAGTGTCTAGGCCTCGCCTGGCTGGGGCTGAAGGTTTTTTGAGACTGTTTCCCGCGCACGCAGATTCCATTGCTACCATTTTTTTATTTGGGTAGAAGGTTCCGTGGAAAAGGTGGCCGGATTCCACGGGCAAACACTGAGCTGAAGGCTATTCATTACGGGCAATATATCAATGATCTTTCGAGTAACAAAAGAGGCATGGAGCCCAATGTGATAGATAGTCATAGACTCAAGTATTACAATAAAACATACACATATACTGAGCGATTACACCGGCACCACTGGAAGATGATGAATTCGTCTTTGCTGGCGCGAGAACGACGTTAAATATCATAACCAAACAACTGGCTTCGATACCCTTTTGCTGGAAGGAGCGTCAAAAACATATCAATCAATCACCGAACGAGCGAAGATCTAGCAATTTTTAACAATTTAGTGATTATTCTACCCCTTACTCCAAAAATTATGCCACACTCTAGGCCGCAAGACTATTTCCAGCGAGTGAGTGATGTTAATTGTACTACTTGAGTCTATGACTATCTATCACATTGGGCTCCATGCCTCTTTTGTTACTCGAAAGATCATTGATATATTGCCCGTAATGAATAGCCTTCAGCTCAGTGTTTGCCCGTGGAATCCGGCCACCTTTTCCACGGAACCTTCTACCCAAATAAAAAAATGGTAGCAATGGAATCTGCGTGCGCGGGAAACAGTCTCAAAAAACCTGCAGCCCCAGCCAGGCGAGGCCTAGACACTGGGACCACATGAGGTATGCATATTCTTTTTTTTTGAATCGGATTTTAATTGCGTATGCAGCTATCTAGCTATGACACAATATCAAAGAAAAGTACAGAATGGATGATTCAACGTAAAGGAAGAACATTCATGCCTCAGATGGTGCGCATATTCATCTATATCTCCCTTCTTTGTAACAGTCGAGGTCGACTTGATCCAATCCACCATCTCCGTATCGGGTGCTGGGTACACTTCGGAAACTCAACGGATGGCTTCTCCTTCATGATCAAGGGTTGGTGACGAGAAGGGCTCCGACCCTACCATCTGATCTGATCGTGGTTAGCTTCATAATAATGGTGATATGGGAATGTGTTGAGAGATGGAGACGATACAGACGGCGAAAGCGATTGGGAATCCTCATCGAAGTGAGGACTTTGTTACTCAATCTCGGCTTTGCAGACTCCACAGTGTGAGCTGGAGGTTCGCAGGGGGCACCGCTGACAGGTGTTGAGGTAGTCCCCCGACTATTTCCAGCATCCTTAGGTTCCCAGAAGATTTTAGGAGGATATGCATGCTCACTGCTCAGCCACGCGCCTAACAGCATTCAATCCGGACAGGGTTGAAATGAGGCTAACATATACGGCGTCACTCATGCCCATAAGAAATTGCCTCCGTCATCCTTGAATTTCCTTGTCCTATGTCGGCCCGAGTGGCGCGGGGATATTCTCAAGCCCTGCAGCCCTGGTAATGACTGCATTTCTCTATGGTTAGATTCGACGGAGATTTACTAGATTGGTCCAAGTGTAAGGATGTCGGGTTCATGGGCGGCCTTTACGAGAAGAGAGGGTTGGCAGGCGAGACATCCATGCTGCACATTTCCTCCCTCACCTGTCAAACAAGATCAGTCATGTCCCTGGTACTTATGCCACTATTTACCGAAACCACACGATCCCCACTCCAGCCTGCAGCAACTAGACCACCGTCTCAGTTAGTGTGCAATCACCCGCTTCAAATAACAGCACGCGTTCTGCTTCCCTATTTTGACCCAAATTCTTCATGCTCTTTATAAAAGTGGCAGGGAAGTAATCAATGGATCAATGTAGAGTGAAAGAATAACGGAAAAACGTCTGTAATCGTGGACTCATTCAGTTGTATACGAGCTAGCCTTACCATAGCTAAGTAAGAAAATTTGTACAAGGAGACAACATTATCGCTTTGTGGTAACTAAGATCTCTCCAGCCACTCAGTGACAATCTGAGTGCTCTCAATTTTTTCAGTGTGGATGTTGGCAGTATCATTAGAGCGGTGTAGAAATTAGTTAGGCCCTCACTGTTGACGACTAGATGGGTTACTAGCGCCGTGTTCGTGAGGAGACCTTGTAGAGGATTCCAAGGTCAATCTATAATCATTGTATTACTTATTCTTTTTATAAATTAAAGTTAACCAAATAACTAGCAGAAATTGTAATGGGAATAATAATGGTTTCAGTGATAACAGTGATTAACTGGGAATTCAAATATCTTAGACCATCAATGTGCCACAAGATGCAACCAAAAAATTTGTATTCAAGTAATGGCTAGGACTTTTTCATTCGAAGAAATTCAGCTAAATTCAGCCATAAATTCACGGTGAAATTTTACAATGTTGCTGACCCACTCGGTGCCAGGAGCTAAAAATGTAGTTCGAAAGTGTAAAGTGTTCTCTTTCTGACCAAAGCCAGAGCCAGCGACGACGCAAATACCGGTGGCCTCGAGTAGTCGAAAAGCATAGTATTCATCGGGAGAACGACCTTCTTTCTTTGCAGCTTCGACGGCTTTACTTGATAACTTTATTGTGGGAAAGAGATACATGGAGCCCTGAAATAACATTAGAAAGTGGCTGGAAGATAAGAGGGAAGTTGAATAGGACAGACCTGAGGTTCATCACACTCGACACCCTCCATTTCCTTGAAAGCTTCATAAAGGGCAAAGGCTCGCGTCTTAAGACTGTTAAATATTCCATCGTATTCTTGCCGATACAATTCGTAGCTAGGTGAACCTTCTCGTGGTGGGTTCACCATTAATTCCACCAGACATTGAGCCACAACTGGAGCACATAATCCAATGGAAACAAACTTGTATATTTCTTGTTGAACCTCTGGATCAAAGCCTACTAATTCAAAGTATCCACCACGATGTCCACACTCTCCGACCATACCCTTAGATATGCTGTGTAATGAAGCTAATTCCACATAATCATAAACTTTGGGAACAGCTTTTTGTAGGTTTCGAAGCACCGACTTAAAGCTGTAGAATTCACCCTTAAAAACATTGGTTTGATAAACCTCATCTGCTAGAATAACCAATTTCGCTTCGGCAGCGAAGGTGATTACTGCCTTGATGTCGTTCATAGATAGACTGGCACCTGTCGGATTTCCAGGATTAATAATGGCAATAGCTCTCACGTCTGTGCCCTCAGAAATGGCCTGCTCATATGCAGCCTTGATAGCTTCAACATCGGTTCCCCATCCCTTTGATTCGTCAAGATAGTATGGAACGCATTTGGCACCTAAGACTGAAAGTGTCGCTGTATACAGGGGATATTGTGGAATTGGCACCAAAACTCCCGTTGTAGGCTTTGCGCATATAATGCTTAGCAAGGTGTTCACTCCAGAAGAGGCGCCAGCTGAAAGATAAATATCCTTGGGATCTGCCGGATGGCCATCTCGTCCTGAATCAAACTAGCTTAGATACTTGTAATTTTTCTTCTACTTTTTTCTAACTCACTTTCTATAAAATTTGCGATGCTCTCTCTGATGGCAGGTGCACCATTACTAGCGCTGTAGGCACCAATGGCGCCTACAGATTTTAACAGCCATTTTGCTCGTTCAATAACATCTACCTTGTATCCTAATTGTTTAAGGAGTACATCTTCATTCTCTAAGAGAGTGGGGTATTCAAGTAAGCTGAGAACCTGACGGAAGAAAGTTATCGGCTTCTGGCCGAGCTGTTGAGGATTTCCTATGTTGGCGGATATTATCTGATTGAAAGGTAGCTCATGATTACCCCTGGCTAACTGTGCTCGATATTCTTCAGACCTGACAGCGAGCTCTCCCCTCACGGCATACTTGGCTTCTTTAACACGCGGGTTGATGTTGTTGATATTCAAACTGCGCAGAGGCGCGGCCAAGTCTGACATAGTGAAATGGATAGGCTTGTTCACAGTAAGAAAGCACTTTAGAGATTTCCGTGTTATCATAGGCTCAGTGTAAGATTTCTTCAGAAACAGAGGAACCCCACTGCAAGTCAGTAATCCTCTGTCTGTTAAGGAATAAATCCGAAGGAAGGTGAATTATGAAATGCACCTGTCATCGACCCTCACTCTCTTACACCCACGCAGCTCCACTAAATTATTTGAATCTGCTGCCGGATTGATTCCCTCATGACATAGATTTAGCCGCAATCCAGCTGCCACGAATCGGCACTGTGCTAAGTATTCTTGGGTCACTGCATGTCCACTTGACTCGACAAGCTTCTCCTTGCGGGCAAAGATATCGCATTGAATGATGAGTGGTCAAGTTATTTCTTTTTCATCAACGCCTAGGATACTTCATTAAGTTGAATGCGTCTCTCGGCATGCAGCCTGGAATTAAGGATATGCTTATGATTTAGAATGATAGGTGTCAAAGCGCCCCGTATGCCACAGCCAGACCAGGGTCACGCTGCATGCTACTGGTCTACAAATCCTGGCTATATCTATTCCATCACTAGCCGGAATTGGCTTGCCTAGAAAAATTTGAACGGATAAACTATGCGATGGGATAAGATATAGCCAGCAACGGACATAAGCTATGCATTCTATTCTAATACTTTGCATCAGATTTTAATTGCGTATGCAGCTATCTAGCTATGACACAATATCAAAGAAAATTACATGATAGACGACTCGATATAGAGGAAGAGCATTCATGCATCGGATCTCATTTGCAAGTACCACTGCGAAGTTATGGCGGCTTTTTTATCGCTCCAAGTCAACCCTCATCCGTGAATACCCACCCAGGGGAACTTCTCAAAAACCCTGAGTTATCCAAAAATGCCTCCATCATCTTTCAACTTTTATCCGCGCGAAATGTTGTCTCAGGTGTCTCCTTCCAAAGTGGATTAGGTGCTCAGGCTACTTGAACTATACTGGAGAACATCACAAGGAGGCGGACTATGGCACCCTCCATCGTTTGCTTGTTTTTACAGTGTCAGCTGCTAGTCGAAAGCCTAACACTCATGTAGCATGACACGAATAGCAAAATTCCTTCCCCGATGACTGTATACGAAGATAACTCAGTTTGATACTTGGATCACTCATGTATTGGGTGCATTCACTAATGCCACTGGTGAATTTTCGGCTGGGACTTTCACCCTTCCTTCAGCCGTGATTACCCACCAAAAGGAAAACAGGAAAAACCTTTGGCATCCCCAACATACTTTTGCCATATTTTTTATGGCCACCATGCGAGATGTGACCTCACGGTCCTCCCTTTTTCGAGTGAGGTAGGTGTACAGGCTACCCAGACTTCTATTCGGGGTGATAGCGAGCAGGGGGCGGACCACAACACCCTTAATTGTGGCATTTTTTAGTGTCAGTGGCACTATCCGAATCATAGCCTTGGATCTAATAGACACCCTTAAGTCAAAAACACTCGAAGAATGTGTCCCAGCATGTCCACTTATGACCTGTTCATTTGATTATCCCAAGTCCAAGCTGCCCTTACTTCCTCGAAATGTGAAGCACCATCAGAGCGACGGTCCCCCATAGACCGAGACACGAGCTCTGTATATTATGACTTAATTTCCTCCCTGTGGGTATACTTTGAGTACTAATTTGATGGTTGGTGAAAGCGGGTGAATTTGGCGGCAAGCTCCCGTTTGCAATTGGAGAAGTTCCTTGATCGGTCGTTGGGGCGCGGTAGTTTAAGATGGAGGATTTCTAGGAGTGTTCTAGGACCGATATTGATAAAAGGTCTTCAATTCTAGATATGAATTTCTGCTTCGATTCCGGGTTGGATTTGATTCACTTTGGCTATCCTAGATATATAGAGCATACTGACCGATAACGTCGGGCTGCTGGAAGGTGAAGGACCCGTCGGTAACGGAAAAGATGATAATAATAAGCACTGACCCTGAACATTGGAAAGCCGCAAATGTTGTTACAGATGAGACAACAGGCAGAAAAAGGATTACCTATAAAAACACACCCTCAAATATCTACCGGAACCTTAGTAGGGCCCAAATCAGTATTGCAGTTCAGATAAGAAGTGAGCACATTGGTCTCAATTCTTATCTATATCGAAGGAAAGTCCCCGAAGTGATTAATCCAAAATACCAGTGTGTATATCCGTCTCAAAATGTCAAACATGTGGTCTTGGCGTGTCCTCAGTGGGCAATGGGAAGAGGAGAGGTGCTTCGAAAGGCAAAAGACAGGTCATGTGCGGCAATGATGAACAGCCCAGATGACATAGAGAGAATTACAAAATGGATACTGGCAAAAGGCTGGTTTGAACCATCCCGGCTTGCAGGAGAAGTAGAAATAGCATTGGACGAAAAGATAAAATGATGTGGACAAAGATAAGACGGAATTGACACTGTATGAATAGCGTAAACGCACTTCCTATAAGAAACCTTGGAAAACCAATAGACACGAGACAGACAGTTTTGGGGTTTTTTACCGAATTTGGGAGAGGACTATTCTCAACACCTATCAGTGGTGTCTCCTACCAACCTCCAGCTCTCACTGTAGAGTCTGCAGAGCCGAGATTGAGTAACACATTATCAACTTTGAGCCGAGTTATCTCCCCCTCCGTCAAAGATACGCTTCCGATAACACATAAGACGACCAAGACGACAATCATGATGCTGGGAATGAGGATAGATAATGCGATACCAAACGCTCCAACGGTAGTCAGAGAAGCCCTCGTTATATCACAACATGTGCTACCCACCAGTGGGCGAGCAAAAAGCCCACGAAAGTAAAGTAAAAAACTCTTCCGCCCTCAATAAAAGCAGATTTCGACACGTCAAAAATATCGTCCGTACTAATCTATAGCTCCGAATCTACTAGCCAGGAGGGCATCTGAAATAAACGAGTTACTCGACAACCCCACGTCCGTAACAATTTTTGGATGCTAGGCTAGGCTCCTTCACGACAGTCACTCTCGACCAAGACTTTTCTGACGTCCATTTATGACCTTCGGTTTGTCCTGCGGTATGAATCAGGAGAGGAGGCTAGGAAGGTTGAGAGACACTCTTAGGTATACACAGGTCTATTGCGCCCGGGTGGCTAGCCTCTTCGTAATAGAAGAGCACCGTACCCAGCGGTTTTTGAGACTTTTCCCTGCGGCTACACACCCGCAAATGGCCATCGTTTCGTTGGCTGGAGAGGTGAGATAATGGCGGGTTAACAGCTCCTCTTAGTGTGTACTCGAATGAAGACCTCTGGGGGTATTACTGCTAGAAAGAAGTCGTGAAGTAGGCAAAGGAGGGAGTACACTACCCGAGGCATAGATACTCCCGGCCTGTGGGCAGAAAGGACCTACATGTCCTTACACAGTTATAGACTTTCTAGGACAATAAACACTCACTCATTACCGAATTTGTTTTCCGCCTGTGTAAATAATATAGCTAGATATACCTGAACGGGCTAAATGAAATGAAATCAAATCAAATCAAATCAAAATTATAAGTACTGAATTGGAAAGCGGTAAATTTATTTACTGATGAACAAACAGGCAGCACCAAAATGAATTTCAAGGATACACCCTTAGAAATCCACCATAGCCTGACCAGGGCCCAAAGCAGTGTCGCCACTCAGCTAAGAAGCGAGCACATCGGACTCAATTCTTACCTGTGCAGAAGGAAATTAACCGGAGTAGAAAAGCCAAGCTGTCAATGTGGATATCCGTCGCAAAACGTCGAGCACATGGTGTTGGTGTGTTCGCAGTGAGCAAATGGAAGAGGCAACTTTCTCCGACGAGCTAAAGACAGGTTATTTGAAGCCATGATGAACAGCCCAGAAGATGTGGCTAGAATCACACAGTGGATACTAAACAAAGGATGGATAAAACAGTTTCGACTTGCAGAGTAAGCCGAGGTAGCAATGTCGGAAAAAATAAATGGATCTGGAAGGGGAGAGGACGGAATCCACATTGGCTGAACAGTGTACACTGCACTTCCTAAAGGTAAACTAAATCGATCGATAGGAATATAAAAAGACAGGATCAGGTGGTTTCCACCACATTGGTTTCCTCCTTTGTAAATAATGCAGATGGTCACCTGCATGCACCCATAGGGTGCCTGATCGGGCTAATTAAAATCAAAATCAAATTTAAGCACTGAATTACATGTCACGTGATGATTTTGACGATAAACTAATCTAGGCTAATGTTACTCAGAATTATGCTCCGCAGCCGGCCCGACGTCAGTCTAAGGGTTGTTAGGTCCAAAGCCTGAAATTTTTGATAGACATTAATTGCATGTATATCTCACTTGCTCTGAATTTCTATGCGGATCAAAAATAACTGACAAAACCAGGTGATACCATGGCTAAAAAACGCAAGTTATCGCTTGCTAAGTGTAATCGGATCTATAACTGATAGCTCTCAAGCAAAGTCAAGAACCATTGCAGTGCGCCTCATATCCATGGCGCTCACTGGATATTATAAGACCATGGTACGACCTCGAACACACAGGCCACTAAGCATGCTCAAATATGATCCTGTTGGTAAGTTACTATTGCTAAAATAAAAGTGTTCAAGTGGAATAAAACATGAAAATATTCTTGTTGCTTGTATCGCAGCGGCTCACACCGTGTATGACAAGTAAAAAATTAGAACGGCTACTAACGCATCAAATCTAGTGCGGAAAAAAGTCTTGTTCTTGGAGCAGAAGCGTGGTGGACGGGGCTGAGAAGAATTCCTATGGTATCAATATTCAACAAAATTTACCGGATAACATCTATCTTATGAAATGATCTGAATAGATCATTAATGATAATCACTAGTCTCGAAACTTACTATCTAAGAGTTGACCTGTCTTGTGCTGAGGCCTTCAATCCTTTTATTCTCTTGAATCAAAAATCCAATCGAATTATGTGGCTGTTTAAATTGCATCCATATCTATATGCTGATAACCATTCGGATAATGAAAGTTATTAGAAAAAAGTTCATTAAGCTTTCATCTGTCTCTCACCTTTACAGGGGCGAACCTATTTTGAACGTCCAAATAAATATGGGGACGAAACTCAATACCGTTCAATAGTGTTGGCTACGAATCTCCAGTCCTAACTGTAGAGTCTTCCAAGCCGAATTGAGATACACCTTCGTCCTCACTTTGATGAAGATTCCCAAGCGCTTTCGCCGTCTGTATCGTCTTCATCTCTCAACACATCCCCCTATCACCATTATCATGAAGCTAACCACGATCAGATCAGATGGTAGGGTCAGAGCCCAACTCATCATCAGCCCTTGATCATGGAGGAGATGACATCTGATGAGTTTCCAGAGCGTACCCAGCACCCGACACGGAGATGGTGGATTGGATCAAGTCGACCTCGACTGTCACAAAGAAGGGAGATATAGATGAATATGCGCACCTCATGTGGTCCCGGTGTCTAGGCCTCGCTTGGCTGGGACTGCAGGTTTTTTGAGACTTTTTCCCGCGCACGCAGTTTCCATTGCTACCATTTTTATTTTTTTTGGGTAGAAGGTTCCGTGGAAAAGGTGGCCGAATTCCACGGATAAACACTGAGCTGAATGGCTATTCATCAAGGGGAATACATCAACGATCTTTCAAGAAACATGAGAGGCAAGGAGCACTGTACAAGGTTTGGCCTGGGTCAGAGAGGAGCCCAATGTGCTAGAAAGTCATAGACTCAAGTAGTACAATAAACAAATACACTTAATTTCCTCCTTGCGGGTATACGTAGCGTCGTAAATTTGTAGTGAGTGATGGCCGGTAATGAATGAGTTAAGCTCCTGTTTGCAATTGAGGCTCCGCCTTATTGGTCGTCGGGGCGAGATGATGTGTGGTTAGAAAGAGGTTAAAGACTCAGATGAGAATGGTAAGAGAGTCATTGTCGAGAAGTCGTCAAGTGGAGATATGCTAGAGGTTACGTTCGACTTCAATTTGGATGCGATTCTTCTTGGATATCCCAGATATGCAGAGCATACTGAGCGATTACACCGGCACTACCGGAAGGTGAAGAATTCGTCTTTGCCGGCGGCAATTTAGTTATAAATAGCCGTGGCTCTCCACTTCCAAATTCCTCGCAGAAAACATAGACTTGTAATTGCAGCATTGCATTCGTGTATTGGACGAAATTTCTAGTCCTTCATGTTACTACGCAATTCCTACGAAATGAGCCCACACGGCTAAGCCTGTCCTACTTGTTTAGGAGCTCGATCTAACAGCGAGTTGCCTTTTGGCATGGGACTTATCGTGAGACACCATCCTAGAGCTCATTGTTGAAATCTAGATATACCAGACGGAACTGCATGCAGTGCGGAGTAGACGAAGACAACTCGTCTTCGATCGCTACCAGCTCTGTTAAGGTTTCGGTTGGTAATGATCTCAGTACAGTCAGACCCCTGTTAAGACGATCCTCGTTAAGAAGATATTTTTTCTGGAACGGACTTTCTTACCGTACATTTACCGACTACACGATCATCGTTCTTTAACCTCTGAATATCGTCTTAATCAGGGCTTTTCTGCTAGATTGATGCTGCCAATGTCGCCAAAAAAGGGAATTTCTGTGGAGTAACGATGTGCTCCGCGACGATGGGCGCACCGCCAGGTACCAAAACCAACACAAAAACAGTGCATTGAGTGGTTCTTAGCTAAGTACGGCCATCGATTAAGCCAGTCCACAGTCTCAGAGTCCTTGAGCAAGACCTTTGCGAAACTCGACGAAGCTCCAAGTACTACTTCGCTACGACAGCGAGCTGGAAACTGGCCTGACCTTGAGAGTATTAGAGCGATTAAAGACGGCATATGGGAGTTTAAAAAAGGCATCAAAAGTGCAAAGTAGCCTAGATAGCTAGATTATGTAATCAAATCCTTTAAGACGATACCCCCCATGGGGCGATATTTTTCACGGCCCCGATTACATCGTCTTAACACATTGCATTCCATCTACGACATCTTACTGCCACTCCCATTTCTCAATCACCTATGCCGCCCCAGTCCTCCGTAGAGGCTGGCTCCTGGCCACCTCTCCCCACCCAACACGCGACGCGCCAGGACGTCGAAATGGATCTCAACGATCCACAATACACACTACCACCCACACCACACCAGACTCAGCCTGCTGCGCGAGTCAACAGCACTCTACAAACCCGAGCTCAAACCACACGGCCGTCAACATGACCAACTTTCTCGCCGAACAAGCGAGGGCTCTCCAGGAACGTTTTGCGGAAGCAGAGCGCATCGTTAGCGGGTACTGCAACGTGCTTGAATCGACAGCAGACGAAGAGTTCCGACAAGCCATCGAACTCACCGGTTTGGCTCTTCAAAGCCGGATTACAGAAATTCTGCGGGGTAATTCAGCCACCCCCAAAGCCACGGCACCAGCTCAAGCTGCTAGTGGCCACATCATCAAACCTCGCCTCGAGACAGCTAAAGAGTCGAGGAAGAAGACTATTGCGAGCATCGTGCGTCCTGTACAGATCCTCGCCAGGGAAAACACGAGAATAGGAGCAGCCACACCACTGGCTGCCTCTGCAACACCAATCCCTACCCATGGGACAGAACAAACCACCAACCAGACTCCCGAGAGATCCAGGACAGAGGTGGTGCGAAAAAAGACTAAGTCAGCAACCACAGCTGCCACAAAAACAACCACAGGCCACACGCCCACATCAAAACCCAAGGCATCAGCAGTGATGCAGGAAAAAAGCTGACGAGCGCGTATTCTTACGGCTCAAACCCGATCACCCATGGAGACGCATGTCTCCACATTTCATAAAAATAAGCCTGGCTAGTAAACTACGCCTGGCTAACTCATCGATCAGACAAGTCACGGTCGTGAATTCTGGATTTGCCATACAAGCTGACGGGGAAGGAGCAAGAAGCGCGCTACTGACAGGAGCGAATACCCTAGACAGCTCTGAAATGAAGTTGGAAGCCGCGTCCAATTGGATATCAGTGTTTGCACCCAATATTCCAGACAGGCTATACACCCTCGAGGGACCAGTGCCAGTCACACCAGAAATGGTGATCTAAGAAGCCACCCTCAAAACTGGCGTCAGGCCAACATCTGCTCGCGCTTTTGCGACTAGCATGGCGAGGTCATCTACAGACTGGGTGCTACATTATGCGACAGGAAAACCAAAGCTTGGTGAACGACTATTTGAAGAAAGTGGTCGGCTCCACTAACTCCAGCGCAAGCCAAAAATTGCTCAATGCAACCGATGTTGGGGACACCACCCTACAAAGATCTGCTCCCGAGCGGAACGCTGTTCACGATGCAGCTCTATCGAGCATAAGGCCACCGATTGAAAACAGGCTATCCCGAGATGCATCAACTGCCATGGACCACACTCTGCCGTCGAGCCTAACTGCATGGCAAGGCCGACGCGGGTTGGTGGCAAAACGGTACAGCGCACAGGAGACCAGCTGGCGGTAATTCGCGAACAAGGTCAAAAGGAACGGAACGCTTCGATCAGAGAGATGGAAGCAAAGCAGAAAGCCACCGAGGCTACTGCCGAAAACGAAAATATAAACGTTGCTCAATGCCCGTAAGGGACCACAACCCAACCGAGCTTCAAAAAACGGCAACAACAATATCGTTCCTCTGCGCTAATCTGGGCAGAGGAGACCCGGCTACGGACATCATCCTGCAATCCGCTTGGGATTCAGGAACCGATGTCCTACTCATCCAGGAACCCTGGACCCAACGTAAGGACGGCCTCTGGCTCACCAAGTCGCATCCCGGATTCGATAGGCATTTGCCTCCCCGTGTCGCTGCTAACTCTTCAAGGCCACGCTCCCTCATCTACACACGAAAAGGGATCAAGTGCCAACAGCAAGCAATCTGCGAAGCATCACCAAATCTCAACGCAGTAACGGCAGAAGAAGTCACATTTGTCTCCATCTACCACGCTCCTGGGGCAGACATTTTGCCGCTGCTATCTTGGGCTTCATCTGGGCCTACAGTTATTGGCGGAGACTTCAATTCCGTCCACCCTGACTGGCAGCCAATGGCTAACAGGCTGCACGGCGACGGCCAGGTGCTCACTGAATGGATGTTCGAGCACGGTATGGAGTTATCTTCTACACCGGGCGTCCCGACACACGATTTCGGAAATAAACTCGACCTAGTCTGGTCTAACGCTGGTGCCCTTGCAGATATTTCGATAGAGCTTGACTCGACATCGGATCACAGAACTCTTGCAGGAGACGTTCCCCGCCCGAACTCGAAAGCCAGAGCTGTTATCAAAACTGGCCAACCGTTGCGAGTGACAGACGACGCCCTCGAAGACTTTGCCAAGGCACTAGGTAGCTGGGCCCATGGAATAGGGTTAAAGCCATTGGACTCAATAAGCGCGGTAGACAACCTCGCTGATAAGCTGGTCCAAACCATAAGCGATGCAATTAGGGCTACCGGAAGACGCGGGAGTGCGAAGAAGGGTAGGACGGCACCTTGGTGGACTATAGAGTGCGCACAATCCAAACGCAAATATAGGATATTCAGGGACGAAGAGGGCAGAAAGGATTTCCGTCGCATAGTCAGAAGTGCCAAACGCCAGTACTGGCGGCGGAAGTTCTCCGAAGCCACAACTGACGTCGACATATATCGGATGGCACGTTGGGCAAAGCAGCAACCTACATCTGCTACTCCACCACTCCAAACTCCGGATGGTTTTGTCTCGCATCCAGGAAAGCGTGCACTTCTATTGCGCGATCTCCTT